ACACACGCATGTGCGTCTGTAGGTCTCCGGTCGCCGTCCACACCCAGCGCCGTAGATGGACGAAATATTCAAACCCTTTCAACCACGTGGACCCATTCTACCCCAAAGCTCAATGTTAGAGGTCTTGCAAGCATGTTTCGGCGAAGGGACGAAACAAATCAAACCCTGGAAACACAAATTCAATCAAGTTATGTTCAACATTGACCTTTGGGGGTCTGGGGTTGGTGACAGTTATTGATACATGGGTTTGAATATTTGGTCCATCTACTGTCTAAAGGTGTGACGTTTGTGTATTGTTGGCTCTTAAGTATCAAGTCTAACATCTTCATCCGTAGTACTCTGTGTTTTCATCTTTTGTGCTCAACAACTCTTTCACATCGACACGTTGCGAGCGAGGACAGCAAACGTCAGGAAAGCAAGCCAGATGAAGAGCAGTTCCAGCAGCTGTTCTTATTGTTGCCATGTGCCGTGTCTGTTCCCAGCGCCTTTCCAACGCCTTTTCAGTGCCTTTTCCAGTGCCTTTTCACGGTTTGTGTGCGCCTGCCAGTGATTTTGCCATGTGACTCACTTGTTTGCCAAAAAGAGATAGCTGATCTTTTTGTTTCAACAAAATTTGAACAGAAACACATTTTTGCTGGCAGGGCCACAAGAAAGTGCAAAAGGCACTGGAAAAGGCACTGGAAAGGCACTGGAAAGGGACTGGGAACAGACACGGCACATGGCAACAGTAAGAACAGTAGCTGGAACTGCCCGGCATCACTTGATAACAGCACACGCATGTGCGTCTGTAGGTCTCCGGTCGCCGTCCACACCCAGTACCGTAGATGGACGAAATATTCAAACCCTTTCAACCACGTGGACCCCTTCTACCCCAAAGCTCAATGTTAGAGGTCTTGCAAGCATGTTTCGGCGAATGGACGAAACAAATCAAACCCTGGAAACACAAATTCAATCAAGTTTTGTTCAACATTGACCTTTGGGGGTCTGGGGTTGGAGACAGTTATTGATACATGGGTTTGAATATTTGGTCCATCTACTGTAGTAGCTCCTGGCAACTTAAGTTTCCCTAAAAATCTAGGAATCAAATCATTAGTGCGTGAGCTATCCTGCGTCAAGTTACTGGTATCTACCTGGCCAGAGCGAAACGCGCTCTTGACCATGTTCTCCAAAACACACATCTGCTTTCTTCGCCTCTCCTCACGCCCGCCAGTGGGGTGTTTGAAATGTCAATTCGTCAGGCCACAGAAGAATTCGATCACGGCCACTGGGATGTCACAGCGCATCCAAAGGATGTTCGAGAGGCCGGTACCGTGGGGGCCAAGAACCAAGAAAGCTGAGTTGAAGATGCGGTACTGATCTTGGAAGCTGGCCTCAGACTTCAAGAATCAGAAGGACGAGGCGTCTGACATTTGCATGTTGGGTCAAGACCCATCGATGTCTTCAACTTTGTTCATTGTTGGCTGAACTCGGGTTTTTTTCATGCATTTCAACAAAGTGTCTGACGAAGCAAGGCTCTCTGCATCTCTTGGAGACCTGTCCCCAAGATCCAACCAACGCAAAGAATCACATAAAGGTTTTGCCTCTTTACGGATTTGTTTGATTTCAATATCTTGATGACATATTCAAGTGGCTTTGACATCATCCAAGTATGTAAGATGTTCTGCACTGCTTGGAATGGCGGCACCTGTTCTACACATCATTGAAATCCTTCGCGTGTGGAGGAGCGAGCTCGGGCGATCTGTGCAAAGCTGGATGGCACAGGTTTGTTAAACCAAATGTTCAGAGGACAAACCAAAACCGTACAGGATGGTTTAACATCACCAATGGATTAAACAAAGAAGATGTCTTTAGCGCATTAGGCACTGTTCTTGTTCATCCAACGAGCATCATGCGTTGAAGAAATATTGAATTTGGATGCCAGAACATGCCTTAACTAAAGCGTGCCCATAAAACTCTTCCAACTTCGGTGGGTCGCGTAGGTCAGAAGCTACCAGGAGCAAGAAGCTACTACGGGCTCCTGGCCGTACTACTAGGAGCAATGTTTGCTACTAGGAGCAAAGGGCATCGCTACTAGGAGCAAGAAAACTCTGTTGGATTCTGGATGAGTGAGAGCAACGGACTCCTTTCCCCCCGCTCCCAGTAGCGTTCTTGCTCCTAGTAGCGACGCCCTTTCCTCCTAGTAGCGTCCTTGGAACCTGCTTGAACCTCATGTCTGGTTGAATTTGCCTCCAACATCTTCCAACAAATGCGTCACTGCCATTCACCCCGCTCCAAAACACGGTGTTTGCTCCGGAGGGCTGTTTCTCCATTGAACTTCCCGGTGAAGATCATGATCTCTTCAGGAAAGCCATGACGCTGGAGGACCTCCTGACGCCGGTGAAGATCAAGTCGGTTTGACCTGGAACTCGACCAGTCCACCATGTAGCGAACCACCTTCCAGGTAGATCAACGGGTGTTTTTTCTCAGTTTTGACCCATAGCCACATCTGTTCCACCTTCCCTGGAATCTTAGCTGGTCTTTGCGTCAGTGAAATGCGGCCACATTTTTTGTGTGGAGTTCATCCCATCTGGCCGCCTCCGCCTCACCAACTCACATCAACTCGATGGAGGGTCACCCTACAGGTTCCACTCCACTGACCCAGTACTTGACAGGTCCACTCCCAATTTTGCGATAGGACGCTTCTCGGGCTGCATTTCTGGGTGATGATGTTCCTGGGGCATGGCACAACTGCTTGCTATGGGAGTTACTCCAGATGTAGTTTCTCAGTCGGCGCCGCCCTCCCAGGATGTGGAGGCGTATTGGAATAGGGACACATTCACAGCACCCCTTTTTGGATGGACCTTCGCGTTCAACCTAAGAGCGATGGCCTCCAACCTACTAGCGCCCTTGCTCCTAGAAGCGATGCCCTTTGTTCCTAGTAGCTTGTTGCTCCTAGTAGGTAAGGCCAGGAGCAGCTCCACCAACCTCCAACAGCGATGGCCTCCAACCTACTAACGATGGCCTCCAACCTAATAGCAATGGCCTCCAACCTAATAGCAATGGCCTCCAACCTAACAGTGATGGCCTCCAACCCTATAGCAATGGCCTCCAACCAAATAGCGATGGCCTCCAACCTAACAGCGATGGCCTCCAACCTAATAGCAATGGC